AATGATTATCCTAATTATATTTTAGATTTTTTATATTTAAAATTAGATGTTTATCATGTATTTGATTGTATTTATCTGCAGTTAGTTACACGAATTCATATATGGGATAAAATCTGGTTTAAGAGTTTTTAAGAGTTTTAAGAGTTTTAAGAGTTTTTAAGAGTTTTAGCTAAATGCTTTATAATATAGTATAGATATATGAAATATGAATTCACAACAAGAGTATACTTACCAACAAACCTTCCATTTCATCAATAAAATTATCGATTCTCCCTTGCAGATATACAGGACTATACTCGGAAGATTGAACGCGGAAACAGAATCCCAATATGCGGTACGTTACCCGAGGGCTACAATCAACAACATAACCAAGCTGCTCCTTTGTCCTACATCACAGCAGAAATTAGCCATACTGCCATGTTGGTGCAAAACCTGAATCCAATCACTAGGCAACAATATTCGTCTAACTTGAGATATAACCGCACTGTACCTCAGTTGATTGAAAAGTGGTTCTTCAATAATTTCATCTAAAAGATCAACCAGTGCTTTTGATTTTGCTAATTTCGATTCGACTTCTGGTTCAATCTGATAATAAAGCTGAAACAAATACTTTTTGAGTCAGAATCATCCAAATGACACCATACGATGATGACAAAGTCCATAATTATAATAATCATGAAAATTAATCAAAATAAGTCAATTACCTCAACCACAGAGTTTGTGTCGAGCTTATTTTTTACAGGGACGTCTCTAACTAGGTCTGCATTAGAAGGAAGACATAAAATGCTCTCTTTATGTCTCATCTCAGATGGAAGTGGTTGTACAGAGAAATATTTTCTGAATATATATGATATGTTTTCAGCTTCTTCTTCGAGTAGATTTCCATGGCAAAGACCCTCGATATACAACTGCAGAAGGAAGATGTAAGCAAGCAGCTAAAAGTTAGCAGAATAAATAACAACTTTAAGAGAATTCCCATAACCAAAACAAAAACCCAAATAAGTCTCGAAAAATCACAAAGCCCATGTTCAGAACAGGGGCGGACCTACATAGGAGCATGCGGTGGACGGGCCACCGCTTCATGGCTCCATCGTAAGAGAAAAAAAACCATGTTTCTGAAGGGTGCCACCGTATTATTTTGTTGGGTGTCCTTATAGCTTTTGAAACTGAAATCTTGACCCAAGTCTTTAATGGCAGAGTTGGTAAATGTTGCTAATTTTCTACAAAAAGGGGTACCAGTCCCACTTTTGTCAATTTTCTTAGTTTTCAGCTTCAATTTTGGTGTGTTTTATATACCTCTTATGTTTTTTAAAAAAACATTATAGCCAGGACTAAAAACATAGGTTCCTTTTGTGCAAGGACAAGGAATCAACCAACCAATCTATACTAATATTGTGAAATTTTTATAGTCATTGTGCCACCACTTGGAAAGAAAAATTGGGTCCGTCTCTGGTTCAGAAACAAAAAGCGATCAAAGGGGTTAAAGCATAATTGTGCACCTGGGAGAATAGCTCAGGAATAAAATCCTTTAAATCGGCAAGTGAAAGGTTATTTAGCAATTCGAGTTTCTCATCAACATCCCAGAAACTCTGACAAAGAACTTGCAGTCTCAAGTAAGATGAATGATTTAGTGGCTTCATGTTAACATTTCGTAAAGTTCTCTCCATATCCTCCTTGATTACCTGACAAAATCAGCAGCAGTGAGCCAACAAGAATAAACTACATTAGTGACTACTTCGGCAGTTAAACTGAAATCTAACAGTAGAAAGCGTTAGACTTGGTTTGATATACTTCAACATATCAGGTGACATAATCATCAAAAAAAGTAATATAGAAACGATAAATTAACAACCCTTTAGTAGAAGCATGGCAAGCAGGCAAGATAAAGTGCAATCTTCAAATTTTCACGTATCAAAAGAAAGCAAGAGGGAAAAATAAACATGTACATATAAACATGGTTCTAAAAATCGTTTGAGGCGTATGCCTTGAGGCACGCCTCGAGGTGAGGCAGCCCAAAACCGCACATGAGGTGGCGCCTCTTGGACCGTGAATGAGGCTTACGCCTTGGTTCAGTGAGGCGGTTCGGTGAGGCATGAGGCGTGGTCGAGGCATATGCCTCAGATGATCTGCTATGGTAATGGTTTTTTGGCTTTTTTATAAGCTTTATGGTGATAGTCTTCTCTTTATAGTACAAGTGTCCCTTCTTTTATTTTAAAAAACTAACAGTTAAAAGTCCAATGGCCCTGATGTGTACTTTTAATATTTTAAAACCAAAAAATCTAGTACTTTCTCCTCTCGATCAAAAAGAGTGGTTTGACCCTTCTCTTCTACCAGCAACCAATTTTTGCACACCCTCTCGGTCTCAGCCTATCTCGCGGTTTCACTCTTTCCTCCGTCAAGAATTACTTAACCAAACCACAAGGGTTATCACGTAGTGGTTGAAGTCTTGGGGGATGTGGTGGAATATCCCATCTGCCCAAGGTTCGATTTCAATCGTACACAACAATTGTGGCCACCGAGTTTATCAAGTAGTCAAAATTTTCTGGGATTAGTCCAGGCATAGCCTAGGACACCCTTCTAGAAAAGAACTATTCAACTAGCAGTTCCTTTAGTACTTTAGCAATATATATATATATATATATATATATATATATATTGTATAGAGTCAGGTTCGGGGGAAAACCGTAAAAATCTGAGAAACACCCTAGTAAGCGCTCGTCTGGACCATATGCACATGTGTATACAAGTAATCTGTAAGCAATTTGTCTGGTATGCACATGTGCATAACATGCAAACGTGCATAAAAACCAAGAAACGGCTTCAATTACTTGCACGCACATGTGCATACAAGTAATCTGTAAGCAATTTGTCTAGTATGCACATGTGCATAACATGCAAACGTGCATAAAAACCAAGAAACGGCTTCAATTACTTGCACGCACATGTGCATACNGTAAGCAATTTGTCTAGTATGCACATGTGCATAACATGCAAACGTGCATAAAAACCAAGAAACGGCTTCAATTACTTGCACGCACATGTGCATACCATCCAGATGAATGATTACAGGGTGTTCCTTAGTTTTTTATTTTTTCGGGGGTTTTCCACTGGACCTCCCTCATTGTATATAAATGTGTGTGTGTGTATATATATATATATATATCTTTGTAGCAAATATACATATTTTGGCGTATATTTATTTCCGCCTCCAACCGCCTCGAGGCCCGATTCCGCCCTTTAAAACCTTGCAAATAAATATGAGAGTTGAAGCTCTAACACATACCACAAAGCGCTCATCGGTTGGCAAAAATGATTTGGCAGTTTCCAAGATTTTGGAAAGAAGAACCGGAAGCTTGTCATTAAAGCCATAGACCTTTAGCTCTAACTTGTCACTAACAAGTGATATAGAAGTTTCCAACTTAGCCACACTAGCCTGCAGGCAAAGAAAGCAAACTATCACGTATAATTCTCAGGTTCCATATACAAAATAATACTAACAATGAAGCAAAAGAATGAGAACAGAAAACCCATTTGAAGAGGGAAAACATGAAGAAGAATAAAAACTATACGGTTAAAAGACCAAAAAAGTAATCATACAGGATAGCATATTTACGTATGCAAAAGATGCAAGGAATTACAACTTGTGATATCAGGAAGAACCAAAAAACACGTTATGCCTCCACTTACCTTGAGAGAGTGATGAGGGCAGCATTCATTTTCTATATGATAATACATATAATTATACTTGTATCTACAAACAAAAAAGATATACATGAACTTTTTCCCTTTCCGATTGTTCACCCCCTGATATACAAACAAAGATATACAAAGAACTACACAACAGTCACTTGCCTGATATACAATGTCATTCAACTTGTCCTTTAGAAGGTTAAGAAATAGCTCAGTCAACAGAACATTCTTTAAACCACGATAAGCTCCATTCAGTGTAACACGAAAATAAGTATTAGCACGTGGAAATTGGAAAGTCTTATCAAGCTTGTACCAAAACTTCATCAACGGCTCATCAAGTATACACTTTGGAGGAGATGCACTGGTGGAATTACATGATACCGTATTTGCACGAATTGAAAAATCTTGTGGAATGAATTCATTTTTTGCCGGTAAATGTAATGACACATCTATTTCTGGGGGATCCCTCCATAATTCCAAAAGGGATTGAGGAATATTTTCCTCTATATACTGTGATCCAAACCACGGCTCACATTGGACATCTGAACGAACAAATAAAAAACAAAAACTTGATTAGGGAAAGTGCTTAACAGCATTCAGAAAAAAATCCTTTTATTTCTCATACCTCTTTCTCACAGCAGAATAACAGAAAGTGGCAAACTGATTAAGTGTAGTTTTAATTTTTTATAAATATTACAAGCCAAAAAACAAGCTTGGAGAACAAGGTAATCAAATATTGTTTTACCAAGCAAGAACAAAATAAAGTTTCAAGAACAATGCCAAGACAAGATCTTATTCACCAGATAATACGCTCGAGATATTTATGTAATTTCTTGCAAATGCAAAAAATGGCATCCATGCACCATTGGAAAAATATAATGTCATCTTATGTTGAATACCAAATACTCATTACTGCCATCATTCTCTGCAAACAGACATCCAGCAAAGCACACAAGTGGAAACTGAATACCGATAGACAAAACAGATAATCATGTGGTTCAGGTTCAGATGAAGGATCGTGTGAGAATAGGAATTATGGTGAGAAATTTAAGAAGGGATTTGGACCCTTGATAACTTTTAGTGTTGATCTAATGGTTCAGATTAAGTCCCAAAATAACCCATGAATGAGCTTTGAAGGATATTTTCAGATGATCTTCAATTAGGATTAATTAGGGTGGAGATCCCTTCTTACCCTTCTCACAATAACTACTATTCGTATTGGAAACCAACTCTCAGGTTAAAGAGCACATATTGACAAGAAGATAAGTGTCATCTCCAACGATAGGTACTAGACGTGAGTAACAACATAGACGGAAGTGGTGTACTTGACATTTTTGATGTCTTTCCCTAGAGAAAGAAAGGGAAAAAAAGGAAATAAGCATCATCAATCAGGGACTTAATCACTCAAAATTGAAAAGTGCATTGGGTTTTTCTTGGACTTTTCACAATTGAAAATTAGTAACTGCTGCCCACCCCCATTCTCTGCTTCTCAACATTCTTATATTGTTCAAACACGGAAGCCACAAAATGAAACTGAAGAATATATTCGGAAATATCTCTGCACATTGCATGCCTAAAAAGTTTTAAAGGTCTATTGCAACTTCACACTTCATAATTCATGCATGTTAGAAAATTGATGCATGTAATCACAAAAGATAGATAAAGTTCTCATTAAGAAGATACAGCAAATATAATACCTTCCGGCTTATTGAAAGACTTTGATAATATATCAGTCCTCATGTTGTCTGGAGTGAAGAAAGTCAAAACATGTTTAACCATTTCCTCATCCCACACCTTGTATGCATAATCCCCATATATAGTGTGCTCCGGTGGATAAATAAGGAGATTTTCTGGAATATCATTAAAGATCTATTAAACATATTCTTTGAAACATATGACAATAGCACAAATGAGTATCATAAATCCAACCATCAACACTTAGCAGTAAAACAGTGATTTCTAAATTAAGAAGTCAATGAAAATAAATGAATTAAGAAAGTGTATATTACACTTTGGATCTCTGCACCTCAATGAGATTACAAATTTTCCACGACTTCATTGCGTTGCACTGCAATTTTTTCCAAGAGCAACAAAGTAGTCTAATGGAATCTAAAGTATCATCCATGAAAGTAAAGAAGTCTTGGTATTCACGAGTGTGCAGAGGAGAAAAGGTCCATTAATATTCTTTTGCTGCCTTCAAAAAAATATTTACTTGACAGACTTGATCCAATTTTCTATGCTATATCCATTCAGGATAATTAAATTTCACAATATAAAGTTTAGAGAGCCAAGACCATTCCATATGCGTAGGAAGAAAAAGGTTTTGCAGCTAGTCACAATGGATCAAGTGGTAGAAAAGCTCTTTTCTACAGGACACCTCTTTTAATAATAAACTCAAATTACCAAGAGTCTATATGAGTTTAATGACACTTTAAAACTTCAAAGGCTGGATACAATAGCAATCAAACATTTTATAGCATCAACCTCAACAACAGGACCAAAGTTGATGATATTGCTTTAGCAGTCCAAGAATATATATAAAAAAGATAACGAAGGGAGATACCTGAAAGTTCTGCAGCGTACTCATCCTGCGGTTGTTCCTCGGCAAATGTAAAGTCCATATTTGCAATGTCCTGAAGTTCTCTATATATCCATTCTTGAGGAGAAACTTGTTGCAGTAACTTAAGGTATTGGTAAACAAAGCCAATAATCTCATAGATCTGCAATATAAAAATCTCATTTCAAAGAGGAATTCTAACTTCTAAGGGAGGCTTGTAGAGGAAGAAGCTGTCACTTGAAGATAATGTGCAAGAAAATTGCACTTGGCATATTAGGCTGTCATGTACATGTCACAACAAACACTAATGGCCTGTTTGTTTGCAGCTTAATGAGCTTAATGGGACTCACAGCTTATTCGGTTAGCTATACAAGTATACATGATTGTTTGGTAGTAGCTTAATGATATGGAAAGTGGCTTATTCAGTAAGCTTCTAGGAGGGAGCTTTATGCAGAAATCCAAGTTTAATCCAAACCTGCCCCTCCCAATTAAAAAACATGCTTCTTCCATCTATGAAAATACCCTCCCAAACAAAAACCTTCCCATGCTATACAGACATATTAATCGACACAGACAGCTTTATCCATACAGAACTTAGTGGAAAACCAACCAAACAACCCCTAAAACCAAGTTGTATGTAGACTTAAATAGCCCAACATTAAAAACATAAAATGGCAGAAAGAAGCAACCAAAAATACATTGCAAACGCAAAATTTCACGAAGAAAGAGACTCATGATGGGGGAACCAAATTACATTATCAACCACCAAGGTGAGTAACAAGGCCAAAGAACAAGCAAAAGTAATTGAAGAATGATAAAGATTCAATTTGAATGAAAATTTTAGCTACGAACAGAAGATCAACCCACTACAGAAGCATTGGATGATTTACAATTTCATTCAGACCCATTGGAGCAAAGAGCCAAATGTCAGAAGATTATAAACAGGGGGGAGGAAGTAAGTTAAACTATATCAAGCACCCAAAATTATACTTGCATAAGCAAAGAATCATCAATGATCCTCCCTCTAGACTAGTGTTGTCATGTGATATTCCACATCTTTGCCAGGAACTAGTACCATCCATTATGTATGACATCTAGCTTGTAGATTCCGTATTCAAACAGGAAAACAAATATCAATACTTGAGAATATAGTTTGATTTCAGAACAGATACCCAGTCAAACCTAGTATAATGGTTCCTCTAGTGATACGAGCATGTAGGTATTTCAGCAGTGAAGTTTATAAAGAGTTGTGGACATTTATCTATAATCAACTATATCAATCAATCTGCAGTGGTTTTGACTTGGACCTCATCATATATACATCTAAAAAACATTCATTTCATGTGTCCCTTATTTGTTCACCATAATGCCATGCTTCTTCTGATCACCAACCTCGGTATGTGAACATATTCAAGGATGGGACCAACTTGGTAAAAGATAATTTATCTACATGCCCCAAACACAGACAAAACATATAGACACGCATGCAGCCAGACACACAAAAATATATGGATGGCTAGCCCCCTAGTCAGCATGATACACATCTTAATCAATACTACTAGTCTATTATATAGTTCCTGTCAGAACATTAATTTGTGAAGAGATAGCTTTTTCTGGTGGAGGTATTGTGTTGTTAGTTTGACAGCTTTGGCAATACAGAATAAAAAAGGTTCAGATATATAGAAACGGGTCAGGTGACTGTAGAATAAAAATATCCAAATTCCAATAAACTTTATAACTCAAAACACTTTCTTCGCGGGAAAACTGGTTTTGGGTTGTCTGTAAGTTGGATGCTGAACAATTTAGTCCTCTTTAACTGCATAAACAAGTTCCTTGTTGCTTTGTCTCCATTAGAATGTTTTGGCATTAATTAACTAGGCAACAATTCATTCAGTTTTCATACTTCAAATTTTTTATTCTAAAAACAGCACCACTACTTACTGCATATATCTAGTCATTCAACATTTCCTTCCATTAGCATATATCTTAATACCTAGCTTCAACTACCAAGTAGGGTCTATCTATATGTCTGCTTCAGTTTACATCAAACTGTCGTGTTTGTATGTTGATAAGCTAAATGCACCAGATGCTTTTTGAATTCTTTTTTTCTTCCTTCTGCGTGCATTCATCCTATCCAAACCTGCCCATAAGAAATGTACATCCATCCTACCCAAACTTGTTTGCAGGAAACGACATTGAATTCCCACAAAACCCTTTAAAGGTTGACAGAAATAGATATGATCTCAACAAAACAATTACAGCATCATGAGACAAAAAACTACAAGGTTAAATTTCCAGACAGGCATCTAACCATTGGTACAGAAAATATGATGCAACCGCCAAAAGGCCAAGTCAGAAATATGGACTAGTAATATAAAAGTGCATTACTAATAGAAGAACCCCACTATTGTGACCCACCTTCTTGTATACAAGCCAAAGAAGATGGCAATCAATTACATGCCAAGGCAGGATTGTGATGTTACCTTTTCCAGTCCAGAGTCAGTGAGGTGTATAGACATGCCAAAAATATATGCTACTGAAGATCGATGCATTCCATCATCACCAACACCAGCAGATATAGAAGTCGCCCACCCTTTAGCTTTTAAAAAAAAGAGCAAGCTTCCTCTGCCCTCTGTACACATAAGATTGCTCTTGATGAATTCACATTAGTCTCCCCAAGGTGTTTATCAACAATATTATGTCGACATAAAACAGAAAGAAAGTACACAAAAGTAGAAGCTAAGCATGATATTTATCAGGAGAATGCACAAGTGAATTATGAAGCAGAATAATCACGGCATAGATGATGTCCTTTAACAAAGAAGAAAATAACATTTAAAAGAAACTAAAACGGTCTCTAAGAAAACTAAAATTACTTCTGGCTCCAAAAGGAAGAAACAAAATTTATCTAGCCTTTTGACCTTTACCACCAATGGAGGTCTTCCATTCTATCAAATGGTCATAGGCACACTAAAAGCTAGTCATATATGGATATAAAGAGACATGGATATTTGTTATAATGAGCATATGCCCACATCAATTCAAACTTAACATACAAGATACACTTGTCCCATATTCATAAATAAAATTATTATGAGTCTTTACCTTTAGTTATAACCTCAGAAAAAATTTATGAATTAGAACTTGCAATCATTTGAACCCTTCATGGTGTCATCTTATTCTGAAGCCACATGCATACATACAAGCATTCATGGCAAGCTGTTTACTAAAGTCCGGCCACGAAGGTTCAAATGCGGTGACTCCGGACTACCCGCGAAACGGGTGGTCGCCCGGGGATTAGTCGGCTCGCATAGCGGGTTGGATATCCAGGTTAATTAAAAAAAACAAAAATCAATTTTATATAACAAGGTTCCACCAAGAAAATTGTAAACAATGTGTAAAAGATGCTTCACATAAATAGAAAACATAAAAGTGCTAGCAGAGCCAAGACCCAAAACCATACACACATTGAACTTATACTCACTTAAGTTTTAAAAGTGATTTTACTTTCTTAACTTCCTGTTAAATAATGAACTTTTCAGTTAACTACATGGTAACAGTAAACAAATACATGTATTTGGTGCTAGAGAAAAGAACAGTGGGTTTTAAGGATACAAACCAATTTCAAACAGGCAAAGGACCTACCATGCCCTATGAGATGTGCCAAATAGTCTTCTGCTTTCTTTAAATAGTCTTTACGAAGACATGGCAATGTCCATGATAGATCAAGAATGTGGACATCTTTAACAGCCTCTAAACGATAAATTTTTCCTGGGCTCCAAATGGGGATTCCTTGCCTGACTTCTGACTTTATTGCATTGTTGGTCTTGACATTGCTAAATAGCTCCAGAACCCAACTTTCAAGCACATCAAGAGTTTCTGCAGCAGAAAAGTAGCTTTATAATCTTATCGATGCAAACAATTAAAGATCATACAGACGTTTTATTATGAATCATAACACATAATTGGAAATAGAACTTGTCACAGCAATGCTAATGCATGAATGAAACGATGTTACCAGCTAAAATCGAGGTAGGCATCATGTTGTAGAACTATGGTGACAGCACAGAAGGATGTTTCAGAAGTCACTGAAATGTCCCATGTAATTTGACTTCAGTGTGTGCAACAAATTCCATGTATTAGTGTCAGGCACAATTTGTATAGCTTGAATGAAATGATTTCTTGGATATATATTGCATTTGAGGTGAAAGAAAGAATGTAATTCAATCTATGAAACAAACATAAATGGGTTTCAGGGATATAGCACTGAAAGCTTATTATAACCCAGACTAAGGGGGCATTTGATTTCAACTTAATAAGCTTAATGGTTGGTTATCTTAATTGATTAAGCTATATTTAAATTTAACTTAATACTAAGAGATGAGCTTAACATGGTAGGCAATCCCACACTATCTTAATGCATTAAGCTAATATATTTTTCCAAAATTTTCCTTTGTCCTACAATCTTTAATCCCACATCTCATCAAAAAAAAATTAGTCGACCAGCAAATGCATGAATTAGAACTTGTTATCAAATATGAAACCTAAATGTTTTAAATTTATTTTAAGTTATCAAGTATTGTGTAATGAACAAGTTATATTTATGTTATTTTATATACATCATAATTTCATTTTTTTGTCATCCAGAAGATTTATCAAACAATCAACTTTCAATCAACACATGTACACAGAAGGTTAAAATGGTAATTTTTGTTATTCAGATTATTTATTCAAAGCAAAAAATCAAACAACAATTTATCTTAATCACCCATACATATAAAAACAGCTTAATGGGGAAAAAAATTCAAACAGCCCCTAAGTATGTAGCATAAAAGGAATAAACAAAGAACCCCATTCATAACAGGTTCCACAATTTTTCCTTCTACTTCCCTTGAAAGGCAGAAAGACGTATCGCCACTTAATACCTCTTCAGTAAAAGTCAACTAAAATGATAACGTCACTGCCCACCACTTGCAAGTTGCAACTAGACCAGAGAGTTTCCTTGCATCAACTACATAAGTTGCACATTTGCAACAATTACATAATACCAAATCCAGTACCCTGTTGCATTCTAACCAACGTGCTAATAAAAAGGCAACATCATGTCTTATGTACTGCTACAAACAATAGAACGTCTTGGGCAAGCCTTGGCACATAATTAACGTTATTTTTGAAGCATGAATACTTAGTGCACCATTTTATTTGCCTTGCACTAACAACCAAATATGTGCTATAAACTGAGATGAACAGAAATTACAGAAAAGAATTGTGCAAGTATGGTCATATGATTGTATTGCTTCTATGGCTTTCGAGAGGCCATGATCTCTCCCAGAGGACTCTCGTCCGATTTACAAATATCTGAATGCCCCATAATTCCCCTTCCCGCTCCACATAAAGGCACTAAGAAAAAGATATTTCCTAACCGACCCTTTAGTCTATTTGCTTATTACAAAGTATACCCTTTATTTACGGAATGTAACAAAAACAGCCCCTCCCACCTATTTCTTAGTCCGCCTACAATAGGTGAATCGTACGGGAGTTACAGCATATGTTCTATAAGTAACATTGCCATTCCCAATACAGCATGTGTCGACCTCGAACCTACGCCAAAGGTATATAAAACTTTCACCAACACATCCAAGACAAACCAGAAAGACAATTTGCTCACTCTCAAGTCTCAACATGACAACCTTGGCATCATCTTGATCTCCACTGGCCTAAGCAAAATGCTATTGGTACAAACCAATATTTGCAACTTCGTAATGTTTTACAATTTAGTCAACTTTAGCTTCTAACATACATTTAAAGTAAAACGCACATGCTACTTGGTTGCACTACTTATGATTATAGCAATTTTCTCAAGTTCGATAAAATATCGAACGCCAAAACGAATAAACCTACAGTTCAGCAGTACTGATTAAGCTAACAAGACATTCCCGATGATTACTTTTTCATATTTATAACAGGAAACTTACCTCCGCCAATGATAACTAACTTCATCAGCCCACCATGGTAAAAATCATTGTAGAATTTCAAGATTTGATCCCGTAAGTTGATTCCTTTCTCCATCGCATCAACTAAGCTTTTCTTGTTCCCTTTTGATACAAGAAAATTGGAAAAGACAAATATGAATAATTTGCATATTTGATGAACAAGCCGAGTTAATCATTTAAGACAAGTATATAATGAAACCATCACATTTGAAGGAAACAATGAAGATGTTGAGCAATAATAATGAAAAACTAAAAGGACTTATTCAAGCTTACCCCAAAAAAATTGGTTGAAGGCATGACCAGATGCCGCTGTATGGCATTGTAATTGTTGAAGTCGACAAGCATCACTTTGCAAAGCCTGATTAAATTCTGATGTTTTTTGCATCATAAAAGGTTGAGTCAGTAAGTGATTTGTTTTTCTTTTCCATTGATTGTGTTAAAAGACTGGAATTTTCAAAAAGGAGTAATATGAACACGCCTGAATCTACAGCCTGTACTTCTCGATCCATTGCTTCAGTCTTCACTAGGGGTGAGATAAAAAACTGTGAAAACCTGAAAAATAGAAAGGAGATGGCTAAGCATGTTTCGATCATAATATCATGGAAAATAACATCTATGCAAACATAAATAAATGTGTAGCCACAGAAAACGTTAGCTCTGTGTCAATCTGGAAGGCATTCTGATACGAATTGGGAATTAATAAAAGCCGATGCAAACAAACCTAGGATATTGCATGTGTATTCTAAAAGGGCAAAAAAAAATGATGAAAGTGGTTGAGGTTAGTTAGAGGAGAGAGAAGAATAAATAGGGAAGGGAGATCTTTGAGTCATTCATTACGTTTTCTTTCATGGTTGCTTAGGCTCCAACCTTGTTGTGAGAGAGGATTATCCCTGGAATTTTGATTATAATCTGTTTATTTCATATTTCAATAGAATCACCTTTTCCTTCCATTAATTTATGTGTTCTTATTTATTTTATATTGAATTGAGTTTCAATTACCCATCATTGGTCCGACCTGCCCTTGACGTGCCGTCTATTTTTCCGTTCTCATTGCCGATGGAAACTCGTTCTGTTCAACATCGAATTGAGCAACATGAGGAGCTCATTCACCAACTTCAATCTGATGTTACCGACATCAAAACCGCCCTTCAGACCTTGGAAGTGGATAGGGTTGAATCCAGCGAATTCCGTAAGGTCATATTAGGATGGATGAAACAACAAGGGAATCAACAGTTTCAGGATTCGGGGGTGGTCCGGGATTAGGCGATCAATTCTCGTGTGCCTTCTTCGATCCTCAAAGCAGCGGTGGAGGATCTAGTGGTGGTGGTTATACTCCTCCCAAAACCGCAGATGGTTTACCTTGGGCGGTGAAAAAAGTGAAGTTACCGGAGTTTTATGGGTTTCATCCTCAGGAATGGATTCAGAAGGCCAATTTGTATTTTGACATTAACGGTACCATGGCTCATCTTCGTCTTCGTTTGGCGAAATTAAGCATGACGGGGGTGGCTCAGCACTATACTATGCCCCTACGGTGTAGGATGGTAACACTGTGTTGTGCCAGGATTCACGACGTCTAACATAAATGATATCGTATCGATAGCACGTTGGCCTGTGTGTACTCTTAGAAGGCCGTCTGACCCAATAGTTGATACTGTAACAATTTTATAAAATCATCTTATGGTTTTACGAAATTGTGACAGAAATGTAACGATAGCATGTTGGCCTGTGTGTACTCTTGGAAGGCCGTCTGACCCGATAGTTGATATTATAACAATTTTATAAAATCATCTTATGGTTTTATGGACTTGTGACGGGAATGCTATGTCACCTTTCTGCTGGATTGTCTGTTTTGTGTCTTAATCAACCTTTGCACCCTATGCTTCTTTTTACGACTAATATTTTCTTAATTGCTAAATAAATATCCCAATTTTAGATAAATCAAATCCCACGAATTCATCATCTGAAATTAGTTTTTATAGACTGGACTTTTGAAGAACTTTACAAAGCTTTCTCTGTGACGATATCTGGTACTTATACCATTATTATTTGTTACAAGACTATAGTAGTTCAAGGTGTATACTTGCGTCGAGTTCTATTTTTGTGTTAAAATCTAAGGTTGTATAAACCAAACGAGCAGTTATCTCAGTCCCAAGCAACACATTACCAATCTATGTGTTTCATGTTTCTCTTTTATCTTTTTGAAATAGATCAAACAACAAGGCTTTTGTTATCTTGAGGCTCCTTATTATTAATGATAGCATATGATTGTCATTGCTAGACTAGCATTATAGTTTATTTTGTTGTCACCCAACGTAGTCAAGAATTCAAGAATTCAAGAACAAGGTATTCGTAAAACCAACCACAGGCATAGATGGGACAATGCCCATGGATTCATATGGCAATATACTTTAAAAGGATGTCGAATTACCTTCTCAAAGCACCCTGAAGAAATTCTGATTTAACTTCAAAATGATAGCAAGTATGCTCTACTTCCGTGTATGCATTCGAAGAGCCCCCATGCTTGGACAAGTAACTGTCATACTAGCACAAGAAAGAGTCAAGCAAGAAGGAATTGGATCACAATTCCGTTGTTTAAAACTGGCTCTGTTGTGGTATGAGGCTTTGCATATACTATACAAAATAGTCTAAGATGAAGCAAAAGTTGTGATCAAAGAGCATATAGATGTCGTTGATGTTGTCTTTTACTAATTCCAGAATCCCGCACGCTTGAGAATTGATAATTTTTATCCATTGACCTTTTAAGAAACTAACTTCACTCTTACCAATCCTATCCTATCACTAATATTAAATTGTAGTTTTCGGGAAAGGTCTCTGATCATCAGTTACTGGGGCAAATAAGGTACATGTTACATTCTCCCAAATGACCTATACGCTATTCTACAGCATAAAAATGAATTGTATTGAATGTTCAGTTGTAATGCATGTTGCTCATTCGTAAATAGTGCAATCTAAATATTTAATACATCTATCCATCGATAGCTTTTTTATGCTCTTTGACATTGATTTTCAATGTTTTCAAGTGAGTGGGCATTTTCCTAAATCATGTACCAACAAAATAGCAAATAGCAAGAAAAACCTCGTTTTCATCTGGAAACTCAGCACTCCCCATGAAGAGCATGTGTTCTGCAATAAATCATTAAGCATGTAATAAGTACCATTTAACCATCAAACGGGACAAGCTATTAAAAATTATCTGCCCTTCAAGAGACATTGTTGCATGGTGCATCAAACAAAAGTTCTCATAAAACCTTGTTTACGTGCTTCACAATGAAGCTTCCACCACCAAATCTAAATACGAAATGCTTAGATATCATGAACCCAAAAAACACGCAATTAAGATTGTAATAGATGTTGTGTAACTCCAATCAAACATTTATCTGATGGCCTACAAATATACAAGTCTTTGCACATATATGATATACCCAACGCGATGAAGTATAAATCGAGATACTACATAAGAGGACAGTAACAAACCAAGAAAATGTGCAAGACCCTGAGCCTCTAGAGGATCGCAAAAGCTGCCCATCCCTACACACATTGCTGCGGCAGCCTGCAGAACAATAACAATAACAGTCTCTATTAGTCTAACCAAAGTCAACGTAATTAGCTACACAGCCATTAGTTATCCTCCAATTTTTCTCATTATATGCTAAATAACCGCAGAAATCCATAAGCACCTAAAAACGACAGGCCAAAGTAAAGAAAAAAAAAATGGTTGCTATGGCAGCAATACAAATTGTAACGTCGTAGAAACGGCAAAATGTAGTTAACTTTTGAAATGCTCAAGCCAATTTTATGAAACTCATCGATTTAGACATGTTGCTTATCCATTATGCCATATTAAAAAGAAAGTATCCTTCAATTTCAATCAATAGCTGAAGATTGACTGCTAAACCTTCTTAGTCTGAGGCGCATTGCTCTTAGCTGATTCTCCCTCTTCATTGTCTTCATCATCATCGTCTTCTTCCTCATCGTCTTCATCGTCGTCCTCATCCATATCCTCATCGTCTTCTTCATCATCATCATCATCGCTGATTCCATCAGGTCTAGCACTTTCCGGCTGCCCTTCCATGTAAATAGCAGGATCATGCACAAGCAAAGCACAGAGACCGTTTGGCAGCTGTATGTATCGGTATAACCGCCTATCGTTAGGCGACTTAACGACGATGTCGTCCGACGAAAAAGTACAACCGCCGACCGCCATTGATGGAAGTAGAGACTGCAGCCGTTTAGTTTGTGTTTGGAGCCTTGAGTCTGTTATCTCTAGGGCGTCGGCTTGACCGAGAGTAAAGGAAAATTCGATTCGATGTTCGTAGCTTGCAAGTACACGCCTACCTTGCTATATTTACATATCCGGCCCTCTTACTATGGTAATCATTGTTTTTAGTCCCTATACCTATAGCCATTGGATTTCTTATGAAATATTATGAGGTTGTACGCATAGTATAGCGAGATATATCTCAATTTTAATGTTTTGTTTTATTATTATCTATATTGATATAATACGGTTTTTAGTGATTTTGATAAAGCGATAATGTTTTTATTTTTGAATAAGATGTGAATTTAAATATATCATAAAAATCTAGAAAAATAAATATTGATATTAGTATCAAATTTATAATTTAAAGTTCTGATTTTTTGTCTAATTTCTTTAATTTAATATTTTTTTTGTTTAATAATATAATTTTTTATAAAGATAATAAATAAGTATTTCATTATAACTAATGATTATCCTAGACGACGATGGAGATGAAATGCTGAAATTCCTGGTTTGGAACAACAATTTAACAAAATTCATGAATCAATAGATAAAAAAAATATGATTGTTTTTAAATGTCGGTAGCAGGTAACAAAGCAGACAAGAAATACAATGGTAGCACACAACGAAACACAATGAGGGTTACACCATTAACGATCGTAAAAAAAATTCAGAACATACAATGATGACATGGAACCCCCTTCTCTTACACATAAATCCACCCCCTAATGGTCATTGTGCAACCACAAGTTTGAATCGGGGAGCTGATTCAGCAGATACATACCTAATTGTAGTGGATCATTTCCGTGGTCAATTGACGCCTAATTTCTTATACTGCCCCAAACATCTGACTGCATTTTCCAAAAAAAACCGTCCTCAGTTCGGATTGCAAGCTGCAACTCGCCTGTATGAAGCCGGAATCGCTAGTAATCGTCGGTCAGCCATACGGCGGTGAATCCGTTGTCGTTTTAGAAATAATGGCCCAACTATATCATGAAACGTGTCTCTGTGGTGCTACGCTTATTTCAACGAATGACATCACGAGGTTCCTTTCAACACCGATATCTTATTTGGTATCACATCACATCTTTATTGCCATTGACTATCTATTTCCCTTGTACCAATGGTGGGACTTCGTACACGACAACACATAATCGTACTGAGTCGTTTGGCTTTATGATATTGTATATGTGTATCTTAAATGCAGTGAATTGATATGCATGCCTTTTGTATGGAACAAAGTAATAGGAAACATTGTATCATTTCGTGATGCGACACGAGTTAGATTTTGTTAATAAAGATAATCAAGGTTGAGTTTTTGCTGGATGATATGATGTGAAATTGAGATAAACTCTAATTATTTAAATAACAATGTATTCGATAGTAATATTTTCTAGGAGTGAGCATAGGCGGGTACCCGATCTTTTTGACAGGAACCGGAACCGAAACCGGAACCGGCGGTTCTTGAGATATTGGAACCGGAACCGGTTAAAGCGGTTCTTAAATTTTTAGAACCGGAACCGCCGGGAACCGGTTCCGGGTACCTGCTTCCTAAAATATTAAAATTTTATTGTTTAGAAATAAAAAATAAAACATTGCCAAAACACTAAATAAATAAGCAAGAATACAAATTATACAAAATAATTGTTACAAATATTGTTTAACGATTACAAACTATAATAGACTAATAGAAAATATTCAAAGTTTAACGATTACATATTATAATGGTAAATGTTCAAAGTTTAACGATTGCATACTATGAATCCAAGTGAATACACAATTTGAAAAAATACGAATAATTTTATATGGAGAATTTAGATGAAGAATGAAAATGACGACGTGCTTTCAAGATGTAAACCTAATATAAATTTGGTATTAAAAAATAATAATTATTTTTTTACTTGAAAAATACCGGGTACCGGGTGGGTAACGGTTCCGAAAAATTGAGAACCGGAACCGGAACCATTCTCAATCGGTTCCGTATTTTAGGAACCGGACCTGAACCACTCATATCGGTTCCGGTTCCGGAACCGGCAGTTCCAAGGCGGTTCCGGTTCCATAGCTGGGTACCCGGTTCCGCTGCTCACCCCTAATATTTTCAACACTCTGTTATGCGGTGTAGATCAAAGTGTTATCTTCAACCACAAAATTGAACTTTATATATATATATATATATATATTTGCTTTGATCATAACACACCATTCTTTTTCATAATAAACCTCTAGTAATGATAAACGAAATAACAAATACTGCTTAAGAGATTAAAGCAACCAAATACGAGAGGCATCACATGTAGTTGTCAGAGCATAGAAATGTGATGGCCCTGGTAACATGTAGGCAACAATATTTCCATATGTCTGAAGAAACCAGATCAAACCATATATGACAACTTGAATTGCAGTAGTTGGCACAAAGGTTGATAGTTTTGAATGCAATGTTGTCTCGTTTCCTTCTATTTGTAACATCTGTATCCATCAGAAGTCAGATTCAAAGAGGATATGCTTGAACACTGTATCATGAATTTAAGTTAGAGCTTCCACTCAGGCTAGTACTTCTTATTCCTTCATCTCGATAGTATTGACTCTTTTGAATGTCAACGAGTATCCATCTTCACATTGCAACACGATTTTGATGTTTGGACTCTGGTATTCTTGTCATTTAGTGTGGTTAATTTGAAAGTTGGAGGGTAATTTTTAACATGTTTTATAGTTGGAGGACATATTTGAAACTTTCTGTAAACTTTGGGAGGCAAATATTGACATCATACTTTATTGGGGGGTAAAATAAGACAAATCATGAAATTAGTAAGCGGAATTTGAATCGAACTTCAAAGGTCATTGCGCCATCTTGGAATTCAAACCCTAATTCAAAATCCCAATCGCTAATTTCTAAATTCGCAATTTCGTTCAATGGATATTGACGTATCTGGATGGATTCTTGAATTCCTTCTCCGACAAAATTCAGTCGATGATCGATCGTTGAACGACCTAATTCGCGTTCTTCCACTTCCCAACAACAATCCGAGACTCAAGAAGAGCTTACTCCTGCGAAAAATCGAATCGGATATCGAGAAAGGCACTATCTCCGAACGTACGTTCGAGTTTCTCGAACAAATTGAGGAATTGGATGTTAAAGAAGGAGAAGCTGAGGTTTCTGAAGCCATGAAGGCAGCTTATTGCACGGTCGCGATGCATTGTACCGTAAAATTTATCGAAGAGAGCGCTGGTGATAGCAAAGAGGAGTATGCTAGTACCGTGAGGAGGATTTGGGGTGGTCGGATTCGTGAGATGGAGAGGTCCGAGGTGGCGGAGAGAGTGGGATTGGTTCAAGATGACTTATTGCTTTGGATGAATGACATTGAGGCTGGAGTTTTGGATGCAGATGCGTGTGAAAATGTTTTGACAATGGTTAAAGGGTTGGATGTATTGGAGGTCCTTCGTGGTTATGTAAATGAGGCAAAGGAAAAGATGGGTCCTTCGTTTCTTGAATTGGCGTGCGAGACGATTTTGAATGATGATGCATTAAGCAAAACGATGGGTTTGGATGAAGGTGCAGAACTCAATAATCAGATCAAAGATGATGCACCCACTGTTGCTCCGGCTATTACACAGAACGTGGATGCAAATGCTGATAATAATGTCAAGGGTAATGGTAAGCTAAACTTCAAGCTTAAGAATAACATGTCAAATTCAAGACATGCAGCCTTTCTTCAGTATGTTTGTTTATTTATCTCCAGTTATGTTTATTTTGAAGTTTTCTCCATCACAAGCACTTGCTAAAGGTTAACTTTTTTTGTATTTTGGTTTTGATTTGATCTATTGTGTTCAAGAAAACTGTGAAAATAATCGTAATAGTTTTCAGCGAATTTGATATTGTAACCTGTCAACGTTACCACTTGCTTCTTTTCGTGTAAGTGGCTGATAGAGAAGCATGTGCAAATGTATCATATTGCTAGCTATGTTATTATTAGTTTGTTTCGTACATCAGCTGATATGCTAAGACCATATCTTGTACACTTGAGCCGCAGCAATAAAACTTGATGCTTCTGTTTCTGTTTGAGTTGGTACTTATTGTAAATGTAACATGTATATGCCTTCTGCATTAAGTTGGTTAAAATTTCCTTTTCTTTCTTTCTCGCATGCTGCTTCAGCATTTAGTTTACATGCCAATGTTTGGTCTTCTCAATGTTGAAGCGTAGCATTTTGAGATTAATGGATTGATGTTTATCTTCATGAAGAAGCATTGAGGGAGCCTGTACTACCCAGACACAAGCATGTTGCCACAAGATGCTCCAGAGGATCAGGACGTGAGACTCATAGAGGAGCTAAGATTGTTGATCCCATGGAGACATTCCGCAACAGATATGATAGCATTCCTACCCCTCAAGTGAAGAAAGTACAGAAAGACCTTAAGACCAGTTCTTTTGAACTACGTGCGGTGGTGCAGGACCCTCTTCTGGATGCATTACGCTATGCTGAATCTTTTAAAGCCAGCACAAGTGGAGAAAATATGGCTCAGGATCATGTTGTAGGTAATTCTAATAGGATTAATGTTGAAGCTCCTAGTTCCTCAAATGATAGGAACTGTAAAGCTTCAGAGGCCAATGGAGATGATGGTTTCTGCAGAGATCAAAACAAAAGGCCTAAACCTAGCTTAATGGAACGCAATAGCACTGCCCATACTCTTGAGGTAATGCATTCTGGCTTTTGTGCATACGATCTTTACTCCTGCATTTTCTGATTGTTTTATGTAATTCTTATTGACATATATATATATATATATATATACATATATATATTTCACTTTTCCATTTCTTAAATTATAGATGGTGCATCATTAGACCATGTCATTGTTAGTAGATGACAAGAAAGGTAGATAATGTTCTTTTAGGTGAAAATGCACCCTTTTTGCCCAAAATTTCATCACTGTAGGAATTGGGTTCAGAACAAGAAGCTTCGAGAAAACTGGTGTTTTCTGAATTATATGAAGCCAGTAAGCAAACAGCGAATCCATGAGTATCCAGGGAAAAACATAATATTTGACGGAAGAACGGGGGATCCTTTTGAACAACCTGTTATAATAGGAAAGCCTTATATTTGGAAATTTATTCATCAAGTTGATGATAAAATCCATGGGCGTTCCAGCGGACGTGGTTATTTGCAAGAACTTGTTGAATCCATCATTTGGGCTCATCATAAATTAAAAGTTGCTCCTGCCTCTTTAAATAATGTTGTTTGGCTCATCTCCTGGTACACTTAATAACTGATTTTTTACAGTCCATTATGAGCTTTCATTTAGTCTGTTGTTGACAAGCAGTATATGAACAACAATAAAAGTTGTCCTATATTGGGTATATGATTAGATGATCATTCATTTATTTCACCAGGACTAGTTGATCTGGATATCTATCGAACTTCTACACAACACTATCAATATTTCTAAACTTTGAGTGGACTTGTGAATATTTATCTTGTTTTTTGTGAATGCTATGACCTTTTATTATACATGAAAATATTCGGGTCCATGAGAAACTATTTTCAAATGCCTCCTGTTTGCAGTTCTGTTTTCTTGCCTCTTTGTTTGTCCTTGTAATTTTGTTCAAATGTATGTGTGACATCTGTAATCGGTTATTATGCTATTGCTTAGTGGAGCGACTCCATTGATAGCAGCTCTAAGGATGGGTCACCAGCAAGACCTCACTTGCCCAGCCCCAAAAAGAGAGCGGTCTCACCTTTAAGGATTTATAAAATGGAAAAACTCGCAAGGAAGAGAAAGAAAAAGAGATGGACCACCATAGAAGAGGATACTCTGCGGACTGGCATACTAAAGTACGTGATACTTGTTAAGGTCTCTTTTACTTCATTTTTTCTGTTTTCTATATCCCAAATTTATCAAGTCTGATCCATGTATATTATTGAAATCTAAATGCATAAAATTTGCTTGGTTTGTCATTTTCTTTTTTCAAATAATGTTATTGAATAAAATGCAACGAAGTTTGCCTTGGTTCATATTTAGTATAACAAATATCCCTTTTCTCTCAAATCTCAATCAATGTAATGAAGTTTCAAGATTTCTTATTTAATCTTTCACAATGTCCTGGTTAATGTGACACAGTTTCAAAATTTCCTAGTTTTTTAGCCATTTTGACTGATACCTTGAAGATCTTATAACATGTGATGACATGTATGCCAAGTTTATCTTTCACTTTGCTACGACTGTTTCGTTAACGGAACTCCATGCCACCAAATATGATAACATCAGCAGCCTACCAGTCAAAATGGGTACAAATTTGGAAATTTTGGGACTTTGTTACATCGACTTAGGGGAAAAAATTATTCGTTACACTAAATTGGGACTAAACAAAACTTATTTGCATTTTGATGCATTTTACTCTACTGAACATCACTAAAATGGATTTGTTAGGGTTACTTTTGTTTAAAGTTGGATGTCGGTGAAGACAAAATAAATGTAAATTTTCACTTTAGTTTTATGCTCATTTATGAAGGTATGGTAAAGGAAATTGGAAGCTGATCTTGAGTACGTATCGTGACATCTTCGAAGATAGAACCGAGGTAATACATTGTTGTCTTTGTTGAGATATCGCTCCCACCGTAATATATATATAGGGTTGGGTTCACGTGAGACCAATGGTTTTTCGTGAGATCCGTAAGACCAATTTATGTTCATTGATCAACTTTATAAGCTAATGATCTAAAGTTGTACGGTGGCAATTTTGTGATTATTGAGAAGTCTCGTGGCGTTTATGAATGTTCAGATTGTTAGATTGTAGATCTAATCCAAGGGTTGAAAATTGATCTTACGGGTCTCACGAAAAACTATTGGTCTCACATGATCCCAAGTCTATATATACATATATATATATATATATACATACATACATATATACATACATACATATACATATACATACATACATATACATATACATACATACATATATATATATACATATCTTGGTATTGGCATCAAGTTGGGAATTCATGGTTTCAGGTTGATTTGAAGGACAAGTGGCGAAATCTGATGCGCTGATGTTGATCGTTTTTGTGTTAAACGTTGCAAGATTTGCTTGAAAACAAGTGAAGGCAAATGAAATGGCTTCTTCCGTTAATATTGCAGCAGTTTCTGGCTGTCAGTTCATCCATCGGTATCCTTTCTAGGTGTGCTTTGATTGCGGGTTTAAAAACATTGCTTTTGGATGTTACCCTATGCATGTAGTGAACGGTGTAGCATTTTAGTAGAAATATCATCTACTTATATATCTATATTAATTTATATATGCATACCATTTACAAACTCAATAAATAAACTAGTTGCGGTGTTTATACTGTGTTGTTTCATAAGTGAAACGTTCAAGATTGTTTTGTGTGAAGAAAAAAATGTCTTGAACGTTTCACATATGATACAACACTTGTATAAACACTACATTTTCCAACGAATTGTTTCACATATGAAATAACACATGAAAACTGATTTGTAACTTCGCAAAACTAATAACAAATTGTTGAGTTTATAAAAGGGGATTCTCTCTCTCTCTCTCTGTCTCCATACATATATATATATATATATCATATGTGTGTGTATATATATATATATAATATAATATATTATGAGGTTTAGGGGAAAATCCCCCAACAAATGAAAAATTGAGAAACATTCTTATAACTATTCATCTGTACGGTATGTACGTGTGCATACAAGTAAAATCTATGTTTCTTGGTTTCAATATACGCGTGCATACCAAACAAATTAATAGTATACACATATGCATACCATGTAGATGAATGATTACTAGAAAAAAAAAGATATTTATTATACTAAATAAGAACTAAATCAAATTTCGTTACACTTTGCTTAAGAAATATTGTCAAGCTTGAAAAAGTTGAGCTGAGGCATGGCCCTGCAACCCAAGCTTGTATTCGCTGTATTGGGTTCGTTAACATAAGATTGTATAACATTAAACTCGTTAAATTAAAAAAAAAAACCCTCTTTAAAACGTTGTAACTAGCTTTTCTTGTAGAGATGGTCAAAAATCGATCATGGGCTGAGCCCAAATTAGTCCCGATCTAAGTAATCAATTTCATAACGAGTCTTGGTTGAAAAACCAAAGCCCGCTCAAGCTTACCCATAACCGGTCCGTGCCCAAACTGGTTCATGTTTTTATTTTAAATCGATTGTTACAATATAATTTTTTTTTTGAATATTATTAGCATATAAAAATGTTATTCAAATACACTTTAAAATATGTAATTTATTCAATCAAATACACTTAAAAATATGTCTCATTGTAATTTTGTTTAAAATTTACATCCTTGGCTCCTCGCATTCTCCATAATAGAAATTGGTCTTCATCTTCGAATCTTCCATCAATGAAATCCTTGTGTTCCTTGAAGATTAATAAGAGCCTTACATATTGTGTTGTCACTTGTCGGTTCAAATCAGCATCGAACGTCCATATTCCACGTCGTCCATCGACTCAAATCACCTTCTGCCTACTTTAACCCGGACATGTTTTTTCGACGTGACACCTCAAGGTTGAATTTCCTTCGGCCGTGAAGAGAGCTTGACACATTTTTTGCATTGTGCCTCCCTTTTCCCGCTTGCAAGAACCACCATGTTGTATGAATTCTAAATCTCGGACTTTCTTCCGTGGAGAACTTTGGCAATGGGATCGTTGACGTCAGATGTATCATCATGAGAGGTCATTTTAGAAGTAGGGGTTGTTAAAAAAACGAGAGGAAGAGATCTCAAGTATGAGTTATTAAAAAACCGAAATCGAATACGAGTCTAGATCACAAATTATAGCTAAAGTTATGAAAGTTCTTTTTGCGTTTGTAAGTCAGTATCTTCCCTCATACACCATAAGACTTATATACAGTGTTGATGGGCTAAAAGGGACAAAAAGAGAGTCAAAAATGAAAAAAGTCATAAAATGACTACAAAAAATGAGGGGCCTTGGCTAGAAGCGACGAGGGGGGGGGGGCGGCTTTGGCAGAAGCTACGAAAAGAGGGAAGGGGGCATAACAAGGACCGAGAATCTTACTCGATAAGAGTGTATAACAAGGACCGAGAATCTTACTCGATAAGAGTGTATAACAAGGACCGAGAATTTTACTGGATAAGAGTGCTTATCAAGGACCGAGATCTTACACTATAAAAGGCACAACAATGACCAGGAATCTTACAATGTAAGAGGCATAACAATGACCGAGAATCTTATACTGTAAGAGACATAACAATGACCAATAATCGTACCTACTAAGTGAGGAAGAAGACTCTTGCCCGATAAATGCTTATCAGATAAAAACCGTTTATTAATAATCAATTCTAATAAGAGAACGAGCAAGCAGAAAGTACAAATCTATATACAAGACCATGATGGAGATGCACATTCAGTACACCAGAATCATTCTGTAGAAAGTTTTAAAGAAACTGTTTGAACTTAAATCAACCAAAAATCCTCATTTTTCTTATTTTTGAAGAACCTATTAAAGATGCTATGTATTGTATACTTGAAAAAGAATCATCAAGACTCCCGATTTCACTTGGTCGCAGGGGCGGACCCACACTAGTGGATAAGGTGGCACAGATCACCGTTTCGTTCTTCCGTTGTAGTGTAAATTTTTTTAGGGTTGTGAAAAGTGTCACTGTCCAAGGATGAATAAAAATTCCCTTGTGGCCACGGAAGTTCAAATACAGTGACTCCGGGCTATCTGCAAAACAGATGGTCGTCTTGAGATTAGTCGGCTCGCATAGCGGGTTGGATATTCAGGTTAATAAAAAAAAGTGTCACTGTATCATTTTATTATGTGTAACCATATATATTTTGATTATACAATGAGAATACAAGTTTCTTTTGGTAAAGTTGGTTAACAAGATTTTCTCCCATCTTAGGTGTAGGTTCTAATCCCGTCGGTGTCATTTGCTTAACTTTTAGTTTTCAATTTCAGATTTATTATGTTTTTTGAAAAAAAAATTACGATGAAATACTCGAACACATGATGTTACATATGAAAATTAAGTATTTAATCAACCGATTAATGACGATTACGTGAAAAATATCTGTATTTTTGTTTTTCATAATCAGATTTTACAAAAAAAATTCTAACTCTATCTCTGCTTGGCTGTGCATCTCTGTATTCCTTATGATAGTTGCATAAGTATTAATGTCATTTATTTTGAACAAATTTCAATTGTTTAATTAAAGCCAACTGGGGAAAAGAAACTATTAACAACCACAACTTAAACAAACACACCCGTACGCATGCACGCATGCATACACACATATATAATGACATCATGTTTTTTCATCACGTATGTATATAAGTTATTGTTGAAAGTATACACCAATATTCGATCAACTGATATCCTTTTAACGAGACTCAATATTGTCTCACGAGAACGATTGTGGTAAACGAGGGTATAATGGTCATTTCACTAGGTATCTTGAAAAACTGATTCGTTTGAGAGAAACCAGAAAATCACTAATCTGCCCCTTTCACTGATCACTTTAATGTTTTTGCGCCATAAATTGAAGAAAAAAGCCAAAATACCCGGATTTTTAGAGAGACAATTCTCTGAAACCCCTTATTTTTTGCGAGTTTATCAGAGCGTGACACTTGTTCGATCAAAAGTGCAATTCTTGACACCTCTGTAAAAAACATTGTAGCTCTCTAAATATCCGTTTTTGCAAGCTCCTCTTTATTTGACACGTGTCCCAGGAAAATTGCATTTTGTCTTTACTAGCTGACAACTCTCTAAAAATCACTCTAACTCTCTAGACCCTTCAAGATCTATCATTACAAAGCATATAAATGTAAAATAAATCACATAAATCAGACAAAAAACTAAGGAGCCGTTTACTAAATGCTTACCCGGTAATTTTTTTCATTGGATGAACATGGCAAGGACCAAGAATCTTACCCGGTAAGAACGACGACAAAGATGAAAAGTCTTACCCGGTAAGTGAGGGTGACGACTCTTACCTGGGTAAACGCTTACCATGTAAATTGTTGCATATGATACGTTTTGATATACTACAATCTTACCCAATAAAATAAATTATAGTGTTGACTCCAAATGTTAAGCACTTACCGGGTAAACATTTAGGTAAACTGCCCCTAATTTTCTAAATATGAATCTCATATTTAAAAAGTCCGATATTTCCATCAAAACATGTTTTAAAATTCCAATGCTATTATATCTATCATTACAAAACATAAAAACGTAAAAAAAAAAAAAAAAAAACTCAACTTTCTAAATATGAAACTCATATTTCACAAGTTCGATTTTTCCACCAAAACATGTTCAAATTACAGATGCCACAAGACATATCACTACAAAGCAAAAAAACGTAAAAGAACACGTAAATCACCATTATGTAGAACTTGCAAAACATGAAACTCGAAAAAGACACGTTTTTGTAAAAGAAATACACATATTGGGGATAAATTAGTGATTATGACCTAGTTATTTGCCATCAAATATGTGGATCCGTTGCCGAAATCATCGATTTCTTAACTAAAATCACCAAATTTTGAGAGAATTCTATGTTAGACAAACAGGGGTTTGACCAATTTTGATTTTTTTTTTGTTTATAAAGTGGAGACCATCTCTACAAAAATAAGGGTATTTTTTAATTAACCTGGATATCCAACCCGTTATGCGAGTCGACTAATCCCAAGATGACTACTTACTTTGCAGATAGCCCGGAGTCACTGCATTTGAACCTTCGTGGCACAAGGGGATTTTTATTCCTTCTTAGATTTGAACATATGACCTCTTGGTACTTTTGATCTTTGGAGAGACACCTCTCTAAAAATCAGGTTAATTTGCTTCTTTTATTAATTAGGAACTAAAATATTAAATTGATTAGTAAAAAGGGGTAGGTTAGTGGTTAACCCTAATAGAAATCCCTTTGTGTGACATTCTTAAAATGTAGAGGGCTAAACTAGATTTTGAACAACCTTCAAGGGTTTATTATTGTTATATTTAAATTACAAAGGGCCAACATAGATTTTGCACAAAACCTTAAGGGTTTGTTTGTAAATATAGAATAAATCAATTTACAAAATGGCTAGAAAAGAATGAATCAAATTTTTATGGGGTTTACCCAAAATATATAATATCTATATAGAGGTTGATTATTATACAATCTTTGTCATTTGTGCAACTAATACAACCCAATCTCAACCGTCCATTTCATTTGATTAATATGCGATTTTATAGAGATTTTGATTATTTCCTAATATAAAGTATTAATCATAATTAATGAACCGTATTCATCTTCCATAAATATTTAAATCATAATAAATGAACTCTAATCATTTCCATAAATATTTCAATTTATTGGGTTGCATTGGTTGTACAAATGTGATAGATTGTATTTGAAATAAACCCTATCTATATATATCACAAATGTTTATACATACTTTTTATTTTTAGTGAGGTTTGAATATCTGATTTTTTTAAAGACTGTATTTTATCAGTAACCTGGACATCGCTAGATAAATGACCAATTGATCGCTTAAGATTCAAATCTTTATGTTTGCAATGCCCTTTTTTTCTTGATTAACCTGGATATCCAACCCGCTATGCGAGCCGACTAATCCCAGGGCGACCACCTGCTTTACAGATAGCTTGAAGTAATCGCATTTGAACCTCCGAGGCCACAAAAGGATTTTTATTCCTCCTTGGATTTGAATCTGGGACCTCCGTGACCCCTTTTTTTACCCATATATTAAGTTTATACCTTTTTTTCCGTTTTACATAATAAGTCATCTATAAAATTCCGTTAGATGTTAACGTTGCATCTCCTGTGGTGCTGACGTGTAAGCAAAGGTGACTTGAGCAACGAAATTATGGGTAACTTATTACGTAAAATGGAAAAAAACTACATAAAAATATGTTGTTGTTATTTATTTATATTGTTGAAATAAAAACTATATTTAAGGTAGATTGTATTACGTGTATTTAACTCTATTTTCCATTAAATGTTTGAATACAACGTGAAGTTCAAGCGGGGCCACGATGTCTGAAAATATCAAGAGAGACTTTGTAAAGTAGGGTGTCGTTGATAACGACCCTTCAACTTGATTCAACCATCTAAACGCTACTCGATTATCTCAAACCACATCAACAAAATATTTATTACTGTAAAACAAACAACGTTACAAAACCTGTATTAATCATATTAAAAACAATGTATTTATAATTGTTTTCGTTGTCTTTATTATTTCAATCGTCAATTTAACAAACGAGAATATATATTATTTTTATTAAGTTTTCGGTAGGGTTTTTGTGGAGGATGTAAATATGAGTCGTTTTCTGTATTTATGTGTAGTCTCTGTCGTTGATCGGCATACATTTGTTTTCCATCGACAGACGAAGCTCGAAGGAAGTGGGGAGAGATGAGGGTGGTTATCACTATAACCATCCACCACCACTTCTACCATCGACACGTCGGCCACAACTAACTCCTCCACCATTGTCAGCCTTCATCACCACCACTGTTCGATATCTTTACATCTTCCACAACCATCGTGTCCACTGGCGACCACAACCTTTACCTCCACCACCGTTGTAGCTATAATAACCTCCACTATGTCTCTTACACACCATCTTCACATCCTCTAAATTCATGTTGTTCACCGGCACCACCATCACCACCTCTATCTCCACCACATCAGCACCACGACTACCTTCTCAACCACTGCTGACCGCCACCACCACTGTCCACTATTATCACATCCTCTACATTCATCGTTGTCCACTAGTCACCACCGCTTCTACTCCCACAACCATTGTTGTTGTAACAACAATCTATCGCGCCTCCGCCAATTAATAAAAATTGTCCAAACCGAAAAAAAAACATATTTTTTCCTTTGTCCCAATCAAGTTTTTTTTCGAACTAACATCAGTTATATCAAATTCTTCATCCGAATGTGGTACTATTATATGTGTATGAAAATAGTGTAAAGATGTTTATAAATTAAATTATTTAAATATTTACTTGACTTATATTATTTATATATAATATATATATAGGGTTGGGTTCACGTGAGACCAACTTATTTTCGTGAGACCCGTGAGACCACATTTTTACACTTAAAACTTCACAGCAAAAATGTTGTGAAGGTTAAAAGAAGTCGAACCTGCACAGCAAAAACATTGTGAAGGTTAAAAGAAGTCGAACCTGCACAGCAAAAACATTGTGAAGGTTAAAAAAAGTCACCTTCACAACATTTTCTTGTGAAGTTTCAAGTGTAAAAAAATGGTCTCACGGGTCTCACTAAAACAGGCTGGTCTCACATGATCCCAAGTCTATATATATATATATATATATATATATATATATATATATATATATATATATAATCATACAATTTATAGGGCTTTGTCTAGTCCTATCTTATCTAGCGCTAGTCATACGAAATACTAGATAAACAACTTATCATTCCAGTATGGTCTTGTCTTATTCTGTTTAGTCTAGTCTTATACAGTCCAATCTGATCCTGTCCGCTAACCAAATGCTACATTCTTAAAGGTTCATCCACTCAGCAAAAATCCTGAGTCCCTGGCAAATTTTTGCCTTCCTTTTTTTTTTTTTCTTCCTATTTTAACCTACACTTTAGCATATTCATTGAAACAAAATAACTGTAAAATTTCTATTTTAACAGAGATGTCGAATATGGTTTTTGAATTAAATTTCCATATCTACCGGAGAGGCCGTTTACCAAACACTTATCAGGTAAGTGCTTACCGGTAAAATTCAACATTATCATTTTCTTACCCGATAAGATTTTAGTTTACCAAAACGGCATTGAATACAACAATTTCCCTAGTAAGTGCTAACCGTGATAAGAGTCATCGTCCTCACTTACCGGATAAGACTCTAGCTTGGTTCTTATCTCGTTTTTACCGGGTAAGATTTTTGGTTCTTATCATATTCATCCGATAAAATAATGTAACTTAATAATCACTTACCAAGTAAACGTTTGGTATGTATTGGTTTGAATTCATTTGGCGAACACTCATCCTTAAACGTAGAGGATAATGACAAAATAAGAATTAAAGTCTGAAGATGATGAGACACTAACTTAACCGTGCGATGCTTTAACGTGTGGACATATTAGTCTCTTGTCATCAACCAATCATATAGTTCCACGTGTCCAGCATGTATCATCTCAAATTCCAAAACCATCTTCTCTATGCAAATCAAGTAATCAACCACAACCCCCCTTCTCTCTCTCTCTCTCTCTCTCTCTCTCTCTCTCTCTCTCTCCTCACTTGAGCCATGGCGGACGTCCTTGGATGCCCACCATCTTCTTTAACCTTTATGCTTCATTTTTCTTGATTCCATCCATCAATTTCTTTGCCTTTTCAATCTTTCAGTCTTGCTGCCATTTCCCCGACATTTCTTTTTTCCTAAAGTCACCTTCTTTAGTAACTAATGATTCCGGCCACGGTGGTGCACCGCCGGATACTGCAAACGGACGTCAAGGTTCCGCCGTCAGCAGCCAACGGAAGTTCACCAGACGGTAGTTACACCGGTGGTGACGACAGTTTCGACAACAACATGATGATCATACTTGCCGTTTTGCTATGTGCATTGATATGTGCCCTCGGGCTTAACTCGATCGTTCGTTGCTTTTTTCGGTTCGGCCGAACGTTTGTTTTGGAGAACCCTGGAGTACAAGCCACCACCGGCGTCGTGGCTTCGAGTGGCCGGAAAAAGGTTTTGTTGACTGAGATTCCGGTGGTGGTTTATGGGCCGGAGATGAAAATTCCGGCCACCGATTGTCCGATTTGCCTCGGAGAGTTTACCGAAGGCGAAAAGATGAGGATGTTACCAAAGTGTAAACATTGGTTTCATGTTAAATGTATAGATAAATGGCTTCTTTCACATTCATCTTGTCCAATATGTAGGCAGCTTATATTTGAACTAGATGAGGCTTAATTGCAATTATAAAGCTCATTTTGTGATTTTTGCAAGATATGATAAATTTTATAGCTAATTTTGTAAATGTGTTATATATGAGGGGCCTGAATGTTAATATCTGTATATCAGAGGATGTATATTGAATATCTAACAGAATATGGGTGGATCACAAAAAATCTATGGTAGAAGTTGCATAATGCCCCTTGAACTTTCTAAAGTGACACAATGATCCATTATAGTAGCAAACTTTAAATTTTTTGCATCACATTGTTACGAATTTCGGTTTTAGTTAGCGGGGAGTCATGTCGTTCGATGGATATAGAACGAACGTTATCGAGATCATCATGTCGTTAGCATTTATAGTTTTACGTAGCATTTTTATTACATCTGAAAGATGAAAAAAACGATATTTGAAGTATATAGAAAACGATGACAATCAAAGGCTTGGATGAAATCGACACGTAAAATCATGTATTTTTAAAGGGTAGTCCTCAAAAGTGACCAAAATAGACGTAGAAACGAGAAAATAACCAAGGTTTTTCATATTTGCACAAAATGACGACCTAAATTGTTAAAAGAATTCGTCATTGACGAAATGACACGTCGCACTCTGTCATTAGTTGGCAATTTCAAGAAATCACCAAGAACCTCATAATTTGGGGATTTTTATGGGTTTTTTCATTTATTTTTTAGAAAAGTGAGTTTCACCTTTGACATTAATGAGAAAATGACCAATGACGAGTTCCTTTGGCGATTTGACTGATCATTTTGTGCAAATATGAAAAAAGTTGGTAATTTTTTCACTTCTTATATCTATTATGGTCATTATGGGGAATACTCCTTTTCTGAATATTGTTATGTAAGGGGCCGTTTACCAAATGCTTACTCAGGTAAGTCCTTACCAAGTCACATTCTTTTACTGGATGAATATGGCAAGGACCAAGAATCTTACATGGTAAGAGCGAAGGCAAGGACCGAGAGTCTTATCCGGTAAGTGATGGCGAAGACTCTTACCATGGTTAGCGCTTACTGGGTAAAATTATAACATACGATGTCGTTTTGGTAGACTAAAATTTTACCCGATAAATAAGCGATAGAGTTGAATTTGCCTGTTAAACATTTATCAGGTAAGTGTTTAGGTAAACAACTCCTAAGTTGTAGTAGTCGGCTTCAGTATCTTGTAGTCTTGTATTATATCATAAATTTAGTTTCGAGTATGTTTATTTAAAATCTTAAACATGTAATATGTTGGGGAATTTGGGTTTTGTGTTTGAAAAATTTGGATAAGTTTTGGAATGGTGAATTCTGAATCATCTTTTAAATACAATATTTCGCTCTTAGATTGCCTTCGGTTATCACAAAAGTAGTATTGAGATAATCCAGAAATTAAATACACGAATTAAAACACACACATACACACACACTAGATCAACCATTTATGTATTTATAAAAAGAGATTGACGGTTATGGGTGATTTGGTGGTTAATATGTAACTGCATTACAGTTACAATCAGAGATGGCCAAATGGCCCGGCCCGGGACTGGCAGAGGACAGGGACCGATTGGGACCTCCGATTAAGGATCGGTGATGGTTTTTAGCCAAAAACAAGGCCCGACCCGGGACCGGTTATAGGCCCGACCCGATTCTTTTTCAAAAAAAAATGTATTTTTAACTTTTGAAGCGTATTTGATTGAAAATCAAATTACAAATTTACAACAAAAACACATTTTTTAAGTGTTTGATTGAAAACCAATTATAAAACTACAATAAAACGTATTTTTTAAGTGTATTTGATTGACTTAATTAGATATTTTAAAGTGTATTCGAAATAACATTTAAGTATTTTTTTAAATTTATCAAAAAGAAATTTTTTAAAAAATTGAAAAGAAAATGTTTTTTTTAATATAGGACCGGTTTGGGCCCGGCCCGAGACCAGGTTACAAGTACCCTTAATCGGGCCTCAATATTTTCGACGAGACCAAGACCGGTCCGGATTGTTACTGTTTCAGCACATGACCGATTTGTGCCCGGCCTGACTCGGGCAGGGACCGGTTTTTGGCCATGTCTAGTGACAATCACTAATGGATAAGATTCAACGATATTTACAACTGACTCAGAGGCTCTAAATTTCGTGTAGAACGTCCCAGAACTTAGAATTTCCAAGTAAACCTCTTCTTAAAATTCTTAGATGTTTAGCACTACCGTTAGCGGCACTAGCCCTAGGACCCTGCAAGGGGACGCGATAGCGATCTAAGATGATATATGCAACATTAGTAAACGTGCATTTCACACAACCTACTTCACATTGTGTTCTGTATCAATCTCAAGTGAATCATAATCACACCAACATCGATTGATAACACTGAAATCACCGACACAGTAACATTAAAAAAGATATAATTCATAAATCCTAAAATATATATACTCCCTCTAAATGAAACTAATAAAACAATTAAATATAAAAATTAAAATTCATTAAACATTAGATCCACCAAGTACAATATCCATAGTAATAGATAATATATGAAAAACAAATTAAAAAATTAATTGAGACATAAAAACTTTGACAAAATTACCCCTATTAATTTTCATATTTAAATGAAATTATAAGGGAGAATATTGTCAAAATTTCCAATATATTTGGCCAAAGTTGGTTTTTCTCTAAAAATTAAAATGAAAATGAAAATTCCAAGTTTATAATTAATTATTTTTTAAAAAGGAAGGTGATGACGTGTGGGGGTAGCATAAGGGGTATAGTCAGGGGTAGTAACGAAAGAAGGTGGGCCGCTTGGAATATGGGCCCTATTTGGTGTTCTTGGTGGGCCCAATGGGCTTCTTGATTTAGACATCATTACGCTTCTGTTCTCCGCTGATCTTCTGGGCCCCTTTTCGGCCCATTTAAGTTCTTGGATCTTTACTCCATTTGGGTACCCACTGAAACAGCTTGACCAATACCCCGTATTCCCTGCTCTATGTATGTACCTACATATAAAAAATATACAAGTCTAGTTCACTTCATTATGTATACATATACGTGTATATATATATATATATATATATATATATACACGGTTGGGTTCTGGTGAAACCAATTTATGGATGATTGATATGGCTCATCATCGGTTAGTTATTGCATTTTTTTTTCTCATTGTTGGGCTCGTAGTTCTTACGGGGTGGAGATGATGGGGTCGGTCCATGGATTTTCCTTACTTTGCAGACCGTGAATATTCAGATACGTTCCATGAAAGTTATGTGTGTGCTTCCCGTGAAGGTTGGATGTGTTTTACCTATGAATATTTGTTGTGTTTTTTTCGTATTTATAACGTGAAGGTTTGGTATTGTGAAAGTTTAGTGTTTTTTTGTGAGTAAGGTTCGGTGTGAAGGGTTAACGGGATAAAATAATTCATCCCAAGGCTCTAATTAGTCTTATGGGTCCCATAAAAACTGGTTTGTTTCACATGATCCCAAGTCTATACATGTATATAGAAGAAATCAAATGAGAATTGGGGAACTACTTATATATATAGTATATATATATTCAGGGTTGGGTTCCGGTGAGAATCGTAAGAAAAGATCTTCATCATTGGATCAGTCCTAAGATGTACAAGATACATCAGATCAATTCCCTTCTAAAAGTATAATTCTTGGATAATATGAGATTAAAGGTGATAAAAATAGCTTCTCACACGATTTTCACCATGTATATATATAAAGTAGTTACCTTTGACTGAATTTTCTTCCGAGACAGTCAACGCACTTTCTTCCTTCAGTCATCTCTCCCATGCCGATGTTCAAGCATTGTCTGCAATACACTCTTCCACAAACCTAATGATCATGAAGACAAACATCAGAAGCTACTTATATACCCCTCGATATATATATATATATATATATATATACGCACACACATGTATATATATATATATATATAGAGAGAGAGAGAGAGAGAGAGAGACGTACAAGGCAACGGTTACGAAATATATAGATATAGACACTGCAGACAGTGCAAATATTGGAGTGAGGGATCCCAGGACGACGTCGTGAGGTCTTCTCTTGGTACATGGATGTCATGCTCATACCACTCATCATACTCATGTCATCATACGCCATGCTATTCTCCATCACATGATGCCCATGATGATTCCCATGTCCATGACTCTTCATCCCATGCTGATCACCATGACCATAAAAATCATGTCCTCTATTCCCATGTTGCCTTACCACCACCTCCTCCACTTGGTGGCCGCCATGGTGCCTGTAACCACTCCCCGGCGGCAAAGAAAGAGTCGGTGGGTCCGCCGTTACACGGTGGTGGTGATGCGACGGAGCAGTCGTGGTGGAAGCTGCTTCTAAGCCTCTACTGAAATCAAGACTGGGTATCTTGGCCAAATGTTGTGGTGGAAAGTGGTGGTGTTTAGGAGTGGTGGATTCAGATATGGGATCCATTTTCTTAGTGGTGGGCATCGGCGCCGACGGTGATGGTTTCTTTTTTCCGGCCGACAGATTCTGTGAAACTTCTGCAAAATCTTGAAAAGTTAGGTTTACAGAATCATCAGGGACACCCAGATACAACTCTTCCAGCTCTCTTCGAGCTTTAGCCAATGTTTCTCGATCCCCCATTGTTGCAGAATTCTAGAGAGAGAGAGAGAGAGAGATTAGTAAGAAATGTGGGGATGGAGTTTTCATATATGTAATGAAGATCCAATGATTGATAAAAGCCAAGGCTTTGGCCGGTCGTTGATGGAGATATTAATATGCATAAAAAGTTTACAGAGGAGAGAGATTCTTGGGAGAGATTCTTGGGAGAGATTTGTGGGGGAGAGAGAGAGAGAGAGTCATTCGGCAGACTTGCGAGAAACATCAAAGAGTAGGTTAAGAATGTAAATCCCAATGCAATGACTTCATTTGATTAGACAGATACTTTTAGGGTAATTTACACTTCTGGTCCCTATAATTTTCACTCACTATCTCTTATGGTCCCTATAATTTTCACTCACTATCTAGTGTCATCTAGCAGTCGTTGCTCCAATAAACTAATTAGATGATTATGGTTTTCATTTTGTTTCGAATTTGGTCCCTATGGTTGTTAATTTGTTTCAAATTTAGTTCATCTTGTTAACTCCGTTAAAAAACTCAGTTAAGTCGAGTAGTAAGTTATTCGAGTCGGGATCGAAAAAGAATATCAGACTCGAGCTCGAATATTTTTTGGATTATCGAGTTCGAGCTTGATGCTCGTTTATGGGTTCGAACTCATGATCGATTAACTCGTTTATAGGGTTGAAGTTGAAGTTTTTTTATGTTTTTATTGTATGATTTATGAACATATGAGCATGTTTGGCTCGAAAAATGTTTGCTCGAATGGTTCAACTAGACTCGATTCAACAAATTTAATCAAGATTTCGAACGAGCCGAGTCGAACATTGTTGTTATGAAGGTCGACTCCTTAAGTTAAAAGAGGTCTATTTTGTGTTTGAGATCGACTCGAGTTCGAGAATTATTATGCTCATACTCGAGTAGCTCGTTAAAACTCGACTAGCTTACACCCTAATTCACAACACGAGTTGTGTGGTAGCTTCACCTTTCATCCTAAGAAGTATCAGTATGAGTTCGACAACGGAGAGTAGACCGTCCTAACCACTTTAAATAAGTTTACATACTCGTATTAAGGCTATATGTTTGACAAACTAATTGATAAGGTAGTTATTGACTGAAATGCTAGATGTGTCGAAAAGTCAGTCGTTAACTAATATGCTAGTTATTAGTGGGTAAGCTAACTAATAAACTGTTTACTAAAACTTACCCCGTAAGTACTTACCAGGTAATTTTTCTCACCGGATGAACATGGAAAGACCAAGAATCTTACCCGATAAGAGCGATGATAAGGATGGAAAGTCTTACTCTGTAAGTAAGGTGGATAACTCTTACCCGGGTAAATGCTTACCAAGTAAACTGTTGCATATTGATTAACATATATTTTTGTTTCACATTTACTTGATTCATAATGTGAACATTTTTGACGTGATTTTGTGTTTCACATTGTGAACTGAATACATAACACATTAGGAAACAAATATATGTTAACCAGTTCATTGAGTACTATATTTGGATGAAAAAAAATCATGTAAGACAAAACCTAAGCATAAAAGTTCTCATGGGTCTCATAAATTTTAGAGTTTTTAAATGATTAAATCCCGATAGATATATACATATGTGTAAATATGTATATATATATATATATGTGTGTGTGTGTGTATCACATGATCTGGATGATAACATGTGTCTCTAAAGTATGCCAGTATCGGTTTCACAATTAGCGTACAACAGCTTGCGTTTGAACGATTTGAAAAAAAAAAAACATTTAATTAAAAATATTTTTGGAAAATAAAAAAATGTTGGCCGGACAAATAAAATAATCATTTTATGACAATTGGATTTGGATAGCAACAATCGAAGAACATTTAAAATTATTAATTTAATATATATATATATATATATATAGAGAGAGAGAGAGAGAGACTTGGAATCATGTGAGACCAATTTGTTTTCGTGAGACCCGTGAGACCATTTTTTTATACTTGAAACTTCACAATAAAATGCTGTAAAGGTAACCTTCACAGTGTTTTCGCTGTGAAGTTTCAAGTGTAAAAAGGTGGTCGGTCTCACGGGTCTCACGGAAACAGACTGGTCTCACATGAACCCAACTCTCTCTCTATATATAGACTTGGGATAATGTGAGACCAATGGTTTTTCATGAGACCCGTAAGACCAATTCTCAATCTTTGAATTAGATTTACAATCGTTAGATCTGAACATTCATAAACGCCACGAGATTTCTCAATAATTACAAAATTGTCACCTTGCAACTTTAGACCATTAGATCATTAGCTTATAAATTTGATCAATAAACATAAATTGGTCTAACGGGTCTCACGGAAAACTTTTGGTCTCACGTGAACCCAACCCTATATATATATATATATATATGTTTTTTTTAACCTTACTTTTTGTGTTAACTATATAAACCAGAATGGTCCAATAGGAATCCATATTGGTTCATGGTTAATAGTTTATTAAATATTTAATAAATAGGGGTAAATTAGTAAGAATATGTTTACAAAATATGAGAGTTGCATTGTTCCTAAAATTTGGTTCTTTTTAAATTTGTACGTGTATTTAACATATTATGATGGATGATGTCCTTAACAAATGAAATTTGTATTTGCGTTTAACATGTTATGATGGAGTTACATTGTTCCTTGTTCATTGTGTTCACCAGTCACACATACATACAGATTCAGGTATATGTTCATTAATGAACATTTTCATATATGTTTTATTTTCATTGGTGAACAATGTTCATAAGTTACTCATATATAACAATTGTTCATTAATTCACACCATTCATAAGTTACACATTACATACTAATAAATGAAGGAATAATTAAAACTTGATGTTGGTTTCAAAACGATAGAGTAATTACTGAAAAAATAATTAATGTTAAAAGAAAACTTCCTAATTTTTTTTTCAAAATTATCTTGTGTTCATGATTGTTCACCTATGTTTATTAAGTATCATTTTTTAATTTGTTACAAAAATTCCATTATGAATTTTATCCATAGATTACAAAGATTAAATGTTATGATTGGTTCATAAAATTAACACGATATATTAAATTAACAAATAAACTCACCCATAAATATATATATATATATATATATATATTTATTTATATATATAGGGGTGAGTTCAAATAAGAACACTCAGTTTGTAAAAACCGTGAAAACCTTATTCAACCAATCATAATTTTTCATTTTGTTTATTTTTTTGTAATTATTAAAGATTGATTAACCATTTTTATTGTGGAGGGTGTTAATCATGGATATTAT